TGAGGATTTAGCTCAGTAGCTGGGTTCAGACCTCAGTACCATGTGGGGGAAGGCTTTCACCCTCAAAGCCTCCATCTGTATGCCTGTGCAATGGGCAGCCGACAGCCACCCAGGCCGCCACGGGGTGGCGCTGTGGTGCAGCCTCAGGGCCACAGTGACCCTGAGACCGCAGGGAAATTTTAGAACAGCCCCTCTGGGGTGGGCCTCTCTGAAGAGGGGCAAGTGAGGTTATTCCCATCACTACACCAGGAAGGGACACACAACCTAACATGCCCAACAGTCGACCCCATAGGAGGGGTGAGGGCACGCGGTGCTGGCCCTTGTTCTCCCCTGGACAACGGGGACCCTGTCTCCTGGGGACAGGAGCCCAGTACTCAGATGATGGCTACATCGGCCCTGCCAGCTGTCCTGCCCCACTCAAGAGATGCGGTTTGCAGGTGAGGATAAGAGGAGACGCCCTAGTGATCCCCATGTGTCTCCTATTAATAGTCAGCCCCCAGGTGAACGGTCAGACCCCAGATAGTCACAGTCCAGCTTGGGGTCCCCACAAAGTCCCTTCTGGCTCTGGCCAGACCTGGAGCAGGGTAACATGGCATGGACTTTTCCTGCCCTGCCTGGGGTCTCAGTTTCTCTGTCTCCCCCAATTCGCCCCTGGGTTGGGGGGACTCCCCCGCCCCGCCAGGCCCCTGTGTGCCCTGTAAGAGCAGGTGTCTCTCCATACCATGGCCACAAGGGTGGGCGGCTCAGGCCACTCAGAGTGGCCAAGGCTGTGACTCTGACTGGGGCTGCTGGGGACCCTCCTGCTAGCTGGGCATGTTGCCCTCTTTTGTCACCGTAACCTTACCTGGGCAATCACCTTCAGGAGGAAAGGCTATTCTGGTTCCGGAGGATCCAGTTCGAGGTCGTGTGGTCCTGTCGCCTTTGGGCCTCTGTGAACCTGGACCATCACAGCAGCTGAACAGACAGGAAGTGGGGTCCCATCTCCTGTCAAGGCCCCAGGGACCTTCCTGTAGGTCCCCAGCTCCTGAAAACTCTGCCATCTCCCACCAGTGCTATAGGCAGAGCCTGGGCCTTTCACCCATGAGTCTTTGGGGCAGGGACAGTCTGGATCCCAACTCCCATCAGAGAGCACAGAAGTTCAAGACCAGCCTGGACAACGTAGCAAAGACCCAGACCAAAAGCAAGAGGCCTGGGCTCTGCAACTGGAGGGGTTGGGCATCCCACTGAAGCAGGCGAGGGCTGGAGGCTTAACCTCCACTGAGAGTCTGAGCAGGTTGTGCAGTGGGGCGGGGCCCAGGGAACCCTCTCAGAAAGGTGGGAGCTGCCACAAGTGTCCACTCCGTGGGCACCAGCCACACCTCCGCCTCCCAGGAAATGGGGACAGGTTCAGGCCACAGAGCTGCTGGGCTGAACAGGCCACAGGCCTGTGCCTTCCACATACAAGGAGCAGGAGAGGAGCTGTCCCTGGCTTCTTGGTCCCCTCTGGCTGGGGTTTTCTTCCTCTCCAACGTTGGTTTTAGTGGCTTCCAGCTCCAGCCCTAGCCAGGCCTCAGCAGAAGCCTAAATTCCCGCAGTGCTCTGGGGTGGGCAGTGCCACAGCCTCCACTCTTTTCCCCAGAGGAGAGCCCTGCCCTGGCCTCCAGCTGCGCTTGGTGCCTTCACACCCTGCTCCACGGCTCTCCTCTGTCCCCATCTTCCTCTCCTTCTCTGTCAGTGTCTCTGTCCCCTCCTCCAGGTGTTGAGCAGAGGGAGGGGGAGGGAGGACAGGCCTGGTTCAGGGCAAGGAGGTGGGGGAGGGGTGGAGGCTGGCCTTGGGACTCATGGGGGCCATGGGAGAAGGGTCCTGGCTCTGGACGAGGCGCTGTGAAGTACCCTTGGCCTTCCTCCCACAGAGACACCTACTGACTGCCTCCCTCCTTCCCTCCCTCCCACAGGGTCCTAGCCTACCTGTCCTGTTTTCATGGCACCCACATCCGAAGTGGACAGCCACGGTGACAACAAGGCTGCAGGAGCCCTGGCTGCTGCCCTAGCAATTTACCTCCCCAGGGCAGAGTCCCCTGTGGGGTGAATGAGAAGTTCTTTGGGACCTTTGGGGTTCACTTTCGGACAGAGTGCAGACCTAAGGGTGTTGGGCTCATGTCCGATGACCCCCAGGACCCAAGCCAAGGGATACAGGCAGTAAATGGCCAGAGGGTGGCCTGGGACCACAGGTGCATGGCGGCCGGGCTGGGAGAGACGTAGCAGACTTTGACAAGTGCCTGTTTGTCTTGCCTTACCCTATCCCCAGGATCTCCTGGCATCTTCTGAGAGACAGGAGCATAGTCCCAGTCCGGCTCTCTAGATTCCCCAGCTGCCTGCAGCTTGCCATCCTCCTGCCTCAGCCCTGGAGGTGCAGGGGGCCTAGGTGTGCACCCCTACAGCCTGCTGTCTCAAACTTCTTCATTTTCTCTTTGAATTTGTGCTCTGTAAGTGAACGTCAGCGATACAGTGCGTGTGCCCGAGCGGAGGAGGAAATTGTAAGAAAGGGAAACGTTTTATATTTTAGTGACTTTGATGGTTTTTAGCATCTTCCTGATGTCTTGGAGAAGAGACCCACGTTCTCATCCAGCCGGGTGCTCCTTGGAGTACACAGCTGGCCCTGGACCAGTAGGACAAGGACCCTGGACAACAGCCTGGAGAGGGCAGGGTAAAGGTCCTGGGTCCCCTCTCTTCCCTTCCTGCTCCCCAGCCACCCACCAGTCTGGGCTGGGCCGGTGAAGAGGAGCAGCAGCGGCACCTCCAGACCCTGCAAGGCTGGTGTGCCCATGTGCACCCCAGGAGCCAAGGCCTGAGCTCTTGCCACCCCCAGAGGCAGCCATCAGGCCACCAGGAGCCACGCTGAGCGCTGAGCCTGGAGCAGAGTGGGGAGGCAGGTGGGAGGCGGTGACAGGTGGGAGAGGAAGGTGAGTCAGCAGGGCGGAGCTGAAGCCTCCAGGGAGCAGCCCGAGTTTGCAGGAGCTGAGGCCTCCAGCACTTGGAGCCTCCTGCAGCCTGTGTCTCTGTGTCTCTGTGTCTCTCTGTTTCTCTGCTTCTCTGTCTCTGTCTCTCTGTCTCTATCTCTCTGTGTCTCTGTCTTCCTCCCTCTCTCTCAATCTGTCACCTGCACCCCCACCCCGAACGACACTGTCTCTCCCCTTTACCACTCCAGTCAGAAAGTCCTGGCTTTTGGGTCACCTTGTCTGTGACCAGACAGACAGGCCACCTTAGAGGAGCAATTGTCTGAAGTGTCCAGGCAAGTGGCAAGCTGGCGGCAGAAGATGTTTGGGAGGGAGGAACCCTAAGTTATCCCTAATTGCTCCTCCTGGCATAGCCCCCTGTGTGTCCCTGTCCATCCTGCAGCCTAATCTCTTCTCAGGGGACAGCTGTACATCCTGTGAGATGAGTCCCAGTTCCAGGTGGGGCCCTTAAGTACCCTCGGTCACTCCTTGTTGTACAAAACATTGGGAAATGAAGCAGGCAGGAGAGGAGGAGATGGGGTTCCCAGGGCTGGAAGAAAACTGAAGGATGTGGAGGGTGTCACCCTGGGTCCAAGGAAGCCTCTCCTGGCACTCAGAGGCCTTGGGCTCCCTCGTTAAACTGTTAAAGCATGTGGATGCCCAGTGGTTTTCTTTAGGGCTGGTGGGCGGTGTCCATTCCCAGGGCTGCCCTTTAACAGTGGGTGAGCCTGGTGGTCAGCTCCCTATGAACCCTGAGGTAGCTGGCACCTTGGCACGGAGGGTCCCCAGGACCAGGGAGGATGCTTTCTGCTTTCCTGCAATCTGAGTACTCTGTACATAGCTGGTGGTGGAACAGAGCGAGAGCTGAGGGCAGCTGCAGACTCTCGAGGGGCCTAAACGAGGTTGCCTGGCATGGCCACCCTTCCTTCCTTCTGCACACATGTGACTTGCTTTCTCTCCCAAGAGGTGGAGCCTCGCTTCTAGCCCTGGGCACCTCAGCTGGCTGGGTGACCTGGACGGCCAACACCAAGCCCTGGGAGTGACATTCTATAAGTTCAAGCCTAGGCTCTGGAGAGACCTAGCAGCTTCTGCTTCCACTCCTCAGTGGCTGCCCTGAGATGCTGAGAAAGGGTCTGATGCCAAGCTACGGAGGAGGGGAGGTGCCCAGGGGAGAGGCACAGCCTGGGTGATGTGTAGGTCGCCTTGGTGCTTCCTCCGCTGGCCTGGCACTAGGTGCAGCTGTGGGAGTGCAAGCAGGGCAGCTGGGCGGGGAGCCCACCCATGGGAGATCGAGGGAGGGTGAACCATGGGGACCTGAGTTCTCAGGGAGCTGAGTGTTCCAGGGCACCTCACAGTGAGGCAAAGACAAGGCCTGGTCTGACCAAGCTTCCCACTGGCTCCCAGAACCCTTCCTGCCACCGTGGCCTGCAGACAGCCTGATCACATGCATGTATGCGTGCATGTGTGTGTACATGGGCGTGAATGTGCCAGTCAGGGAGCCCGTTCCACTTCACAGAGCTTGGACTCAGGTCCAGGCTTTCTGATGCCCACTCGTGACCCCTCCAGTGACCCTGGAAGGACAGTGGCAACCAACATGACCCCTGTAAGGCCAGTGTCTGGGTGGCCAAACACACACACACACACACACACACACACACACACACACACACAGAAATGTGTGCATGCGTGTTCTCTCTCCCACCTATCCTCTCTCTCAGCCAGCTCAGGCCATTGGGCCATATACTTTATTAAAAATAGATAGTTACAAACTCCATTATCAGTCTGAGCTGGGCCAGGAGGACCCAGAGGACCGCAGGGAGGGAGACGGGCAGGTCCTCAGCCTGCCTCTCAGGGTACCGCCTCTGCACCCAAACCCGACACCATCCAGGGGCCACACTTTGGCTTTGAAGGGGCTCTGGGGACAGCCAGCTGGGCAGGGAAGGGTCTGGGCATGACGGTGGGGGGAGGAGAGAGACGACACCCCCCTTTGTCTTGCAGGTAAAAATGGCAGAGGTGGATCTGGCTTCTCTAGCTCACTCCATTTGTAGGTATTTACAAAAGAAAGTCATGAGAGCACAAGGCTGTAGTCATGCAAGAGAAACGCGCCCCTCCCCCCTCCCGGCCCCACCCCCTGCCCTCCCAGAACCCCGAGATGCCCACTCCCCAGCAGTCCAGCCACCTTCCCCAAGTTTGAAGGGCACGGGGGTGGGGCACGTCCTTGCAGGGTCAGTAGGGAAAGGGTGGAAGGTCCAGGTCCACAGCTGCTGGTGGGTAGAGCCTGGGCGCTTGGGCCGAGTCCCCCGGGCCCTCCCCAGGCCTGGGCTCTGAGTCTTGGATGTCCCCACCACCTTCCTCCAGGGGGTCCACAGAGCTAGGTCAGCTCTGTCATGAGCGTGGAAGAGGCATCCTGGCTTCCCACCCACCTGGCAGGGGCTCATACAGCAGGAGGTGAGGCGGGTGGGGCCTGGAGGTCAGATGGCAGACTCCCTGCGGTAGGAGATGTTGTCCAGCGGGAGGGTGGCCTGCATGCGCTCCAGATCCAGGTGGCTGCCAAACTCCAGCATCCGGATGATGCCCGCCTCCTCCTTGGTGCCCGCCTCCAGGCCCAGGCCGGCAGCCACAGCGGCTGCAGCCGCCTCCTCCTCCATCTCCTCCTCCTCCTGGCTCATGAGGGCCAGCTCGTTCTCGTAGCAAAAGGCACTGGGCGGAGGTGGCGGGGCAGGCAGCACGGTGATCTTGCTCTCCTGCAGCTCCCGGGCCGAGCAGCAAGGCGTGCCGGCCACTTCATAGGTCTTGTGGAAGCGCGAGTAGTCCACCTTGTAGTGGCTCTTCTCCTCGAAGACCACGGGCTCGAAGCGGTGGCCCCACAGGATCTCGCTGGCCAGGTAGGAGCTGCGCGCCTGGGTAGTCATGGCTGTGGCCTCCACCATGCCCTCCAGGATGACCACAATCTCAAAGTCCTCTGACTCCAGCTCCTCCTTGCCCATGCCATAGAGTGGGCTGTCCTCGTCGATCTCGTGGACGATGATGATGGGCGACACCAGGAAGATGCGGTCCAGGCCGATGTCGTAGCCCACGTTGAGGTCCCGCTGGTCCAGCGGGAGGTACTCGCCCTCCTGGGTCATGTAAGGCTTGATGAGCTGCGCGCGCACGTGGGCCTCCACGATGTGGCTCTTGCGCAGGTTGCCCACGCGCCACATGAGGCAGAGCTTGCCGTCGCGCACCGAGATGACCGCGTGGTGGCTGAACAGCAGCGTCTGTGCACGCTTCTTGGGCCGAGCCATCTTGGCCATGATGGTGCCAATCATGAAGGAGTCGATGACGCAGCCCACGATGGACTGCACCACGACAGCGATGACGGCCAGCGGGCACTCCTCCGTCACGCAGCGGAAGCCGTAGCCAATGGTTGTCTGCGTCTCTACGGAGAAGAGAAAGGCGCCCAGGAAGCCGTTCACATGCATGATGCAGGGCTTGGGGGCCGCTGGGGTCGCCCCGCCATTGCCCGCCTGTGCCCCGGTGGCCGGCACCGCCGCGCTGGCCTCCAGGTCACCGTGGAAGAACGCAATGCACCAGAAGAGGAGGCCGAAGAAGAGCCAGGAGATGAGGAAGGCCGCGGAGAAGATCATGAGCATGTAGCGCCAGCGCGTGTCCACGCACGTGGTGAAGATGTCCGCCATGTAGCGCTGGGACTTGTTGCTCAGGTTGGCGAAGTACACGTTGCACTGGCCGTTTTTCTTCACGAAGCGGTTGCGGCGTTTCCGCCGGGGCACGTGGGCCTGCCCGTTGCGGCTGTGCCCGTGCATGTCCTGAGGCCGGCGTGGTCACCTGGGAAGACACAGGGCCTGTGGAGGAGAAGCCAGACAGGTGAGGAGCTGGGCAGGGAGGGCCGCAGGGGGAGCAGAAGGCGGAACGGGAAGCCAAGACCTTGGCCGGCCTGGAGGGGGCGCGTGACAGGCAGTGTAGCTCTGTGTACCTGGCTGTCCCAGCCCTGAGACCGGTGTCCCCCTGAGCGGGATCCCCTGAGAGTTGCTCTTCCAACTACCGTTTGCCTGCTGTGTTGGAAGCCCCCTGATGCCCATGCTAACGCTGGGCTCCACCAGCCCTGAGGTGTGTCACCTAGCTGGGCTCAGCCTCTGCACTTCGGGGTGTCTCTGAGGCTGGACATCCACTTGTGCTGTCCCATGCAGGGGCCACGGACCACCCATGGGTTTTTATATGTAATTAAAACTAAACAAAAATTCAACATCCATTCTTCTTTTTGGTGTTGTTGGTTTGGGTTTCTTTTTTGCCACGGAGTGTCACTATGTACTCCAGGCTGTCCTGGAACTTGCTGTGTAGCCTAGGCCTGCCTTAACCTCGAGATCCTCCTGCTTCAGCCTGCTGAGTGGTGGGCTCACAGGCTGTACCGACATGCCTGGCTTTTCATGTCCTTATCTGCACTAGCATTTTATGTGCTTGGGAACCACTGGTGGCCAATGGCTACTGCAGAGACACAGAAGATACAAGCTATTTCCATCATGTAGGAAAAGGCAGGAGACTGGACAGCCCCCTGAGGGTCTGAATTCCATCTTGAACGCTTCCTTGCTTTTATTCCTTGGAGCCACGGAGCCCTAGAGTCCTGTTGTCTCCAAACTCATTGGGAGCAGCGGCAGTGGCCGGTAAGAATCCAGTGTGGTGGTTCCGCATAGAGGAGGGAAAGCCCGAGCTTTGGTCCTGCAGCTATACACAGGCAGCTCAGAGAGGGCTATTGGCCTACCCAAGGCCCCACAGTGGGAAAGTAAGTGGCTCAAACTCAGATGAGCTCGTGGTGTAGACCTGGAGAGGAAGAGGTGACACCCTGCTATGTCACCAGGCCACCTGGCAACTAATGTAGTGCCCCTCTTGAGCCACAGGTTTCTCACCTATAAGATGGGGATAAAAGAAACCCTTCTCTCACAAGAGCCAGTGAGGACAGTCACCCTTCTGCCTGTCTTTGCCATTCCCCACTAGGAATCAGAGGGGAGCGGGCTGGGCCTGTCAGAGTCCCAGCTGTTTGCGTGGAGGAGGCTTGTCACCCACTGGTGCCGGCACACAGCTAGCCTGTGGAAAGCAGACGCTGGCTCCCCGCTCCCTGCCCCAGGCTCCAGGACCGAGTTTGTGCCGCCTAGGGCCTCAGAGCCAGGAGGGCCAGGACCCGGTCTGGGTCCGTTATCATTTTGGCCCAGAATTATATAAGGCTGGAAGTTTCTATTTTCTGTTATATTCTTCTTCCTGATCTAATTGTGCATCTGTGGCAATGTTTATACACTTCCCCAGTTCAGGACAACTTGGTTGCCGCAGCAACCGGTGCGCGCCAACGCTATAATTTAGAGATCAACAGCTCCTGAGCCTGCCTCTTCCCAGAGTCTCGGAATCCCAGCCCCCACGGCCACCCCACCCGACCCGGGCTCCTTCCCTTTTCCTGCCCCATGGATCAGGGGCTCCCCTGTGACTTAGGCAAGTCATTGATCTCCACAAGCCTCAGTTTCCTTGTCTGGAGAATGGAACGAATGCCCAGCAGCCTGAGAATTCAGTGGCAATTCTGGCTCATGCAATTCTGGCTCTGTGCAGGTCCTAACTTGTCGCCATTTATGTTTTGTGTGCCGGAGATAAAACCCAGGACTCCTTGCGTGCTAGACAAGTGCCGCTGAGCTACACCCAGGCCCTGCAGGTCCTGACTTAGGCCCCACACCCTCTCTGCCACCTCTCCGAGTCCCACAGCTTAGGCTCCAATTGGGGACCCAAGGAGACCGGATGCCTGGTGCACCTTTTGGCCAAACCCAAGTGTCCAGGAACATCTTCTGTCACCGATCCCCCTCCACGTCCCACCCACAACCAGAGGGATGCAAGGTCACTGGGCTCAAGATCCTTTTTCTGCATCTGAGGCTCAGGACATCCAGGTACAGAGGACTCAAGTGACTCCTGTCCGTGTGCCTCATGCTCTGGAAAGGAACCTGGGTGTGTCCATTTCCTTCCTGGAGGGGGCAGGGGCCAGAGAGAGAAGACACGGGCTCTGGGCCGCTGTCCACTTGTCTGCAGCAGAGGGGGCCAGGGGACCAGTCTGGTGGCCCAGGCCTAGTAGATGAGGCGCTCAGCTGCCACAGAAGGGGGCTCTTGGTGGTTTCTAGGGGACCTGGGGCAAGGGCTGAGCAGCATGTCCCCCAAGCTGTGGGCTCCTGGCCCTCCCCTCCACAGAAGCACTGCCACTGCTCCCTCTCAGGGACAGTCTGGTAACAGATTCTGAGCCAGCCACGGCAGGGACAACTCGAGGTTCTGTGTACCCTGCATGCTCACTCGCACCCCGACCTCTGTCACTAAGAAGAGGCTCACCTGCCCGCACAGCGCTTGGACACCTCGGGGGCAGCGCCATACAGGCTTCCTGAAAAAGGCACAGGGCCCAAAGGATGGAGCAGAAAGGAAAGGCCCCACTGGCAAGAGAGGACACGAGGCGCTAGCTCAATGCCATCTCCTCTGAATATTGAGACTTTATTTATTTTATTTATTACAAAATATTGGGCTGGGGTGCACAAAGCCCTGGAGGTGGGGGACCTCAGTTGTGCAGGTGGCCATGCTATTCCTATCATTAAACTTTCTGGGCTGCAGTGTCTGGCTTCATTCGCTTGCATGGAATGGAATGGAGGGCCCCAGCCCAGGGAGCCCAGCTGCCTGGAGCTCTGCACTGTCCTGAGCCCCCATAAATCCTTCCCGTTCTGAGTCTCAGGTCCTCCTCCACGCCTGAGGCCACTTATCTTCCCGGCCTTGTCCCAGGTGGGGATTTTTTTGAGGATCATGGAATGACATGAAACAGAGGGGTGGTGAGGTGGCCTCTGGCTTTCCAAGCCCCCAAATGCAGCAGCTGACCCAGGGCACAATGAGGAAGCAGTAGGACGCTCCAGTCACTGTCCTGTTTTGTTTTGAGACAAGGTCTCATTAGGTTGCTAGGTCGCCCAGGCTGGCAGCTTTCGATCCTCCTGCTCAGCCTCCTAGGATGCTGGGATTTCAGTGCTGCTACCATGCCTTGCCATCTCGTGGTCATCCTTCCCAAAGGCTGCATCCTGGGGTCCTTTCAGAGGCAAAGGTCCTTCTGGGAAGCCAGGGCCCGGAGGTACCGCCTGCTTTGCAAACCAAATGTCCTTCCCAGCGAGATAAAGAACTAACAATGCCGTTCCGCTGCCAGACTTAATTTTCTTCTTCTTTTACTATGCTGCCAACATCTGAGATATGGGAGCCTCAAGACAAGATTCCACTGGGCACGCAGAGAAACTGAGGCTCAGAATAGACCTGAGTGCAATGTCTGAGGTGGCACAGGAATCCAGTAGCTACCAAAACAGGGCAGGAAGGGGGCTCACGGGGCTGCCGATGTGAGCACCATCACTGTCCTGCCCCCACCTGAGGTTAGGGAGGATGGAGGAGGCCCCAAGGGGCAGGACCCCAGCTCCTGTCACTTCCTGGGCTTTGCTGGGGACACTGTGACATCAAATGTCCCATATGGCCACAACTCTCCGCTGTAAAAGAAAAGCCCTCACCCAGTAGCAGCCCCACCCTCTGCACATCACAGCTGTGGGTGTAGGAAGAGGTGATCCCATAGGGGGGTACAGCCCAGACCCTCCGATATCAGGCAACTTCCTCAGGAAGATGGAGGGGGAGCACTCTACAGAGCTGTAGGTAGGGCAGAGGGGTTGCCGGCTGCAGCTGGGCCGTGTTGAGTACAGGGGTCCCATAATAGTGGCCTGCGCACTGACATGCACCTATAAGCCCAGCTACTCAGGAGGCTGAGGCAGGAGGATCCTGAGCTTGAGGTCAGCCTCGGTTACAGAGAGCTTGTCACACAGTAAACTTTGAAAAGGGGCTGGAAGTGTGTGGCTCAGTGCCTGAGTGCTTGTGTAGCATGCATGAGGCCCTGAGTTCTACATGCAAAAGCAGAAAGGGGCAAAGTGGGCGACCCACTCAGGTCTGGCTGGCTCCAGGTGCTGGCTCCCCCAGTCCCCAGCCTGTGTGCTGCTCACTCTGGTCCCTGTGCCCTGGGTTCTCCGCCTTCCCATCTACACTGTGGTACCCTGAGCTCCCCACCCCTCGCAGTCCCTGCGCTGCTCAGCTTTTGGTGGATTCTGCAGACTGGTGACAGCCATGTGCCCAGGGTGGTGAGCTCTGACCCAGGTCTGCTCCACCACAGCCTCTCTGGGCCTCAGTTTCCTGGTCCTCACATGGCAGTAACAGTGCTGACCACAAGAAGGCTATCACCTGGGGCCTAGAGGAAAACACTACGAGTCTAATCGGCCCCTCTCCCCTTGCTTGTGGGCCTGGCTAGGAGAAAGGGGTGCCAAGGCCAGAGCTGACCGCAGGGGAAACTGTGGCCTCCTGCAGGCCCCCATCCTGCTCCTCAGACCCCAGGAGACCAGGCTCCCTCTTCTCTGGGATGGGGCGCGGGGCAGGGCACACATCTAACCTTCCCAGGGTAACAGCCTCAACTTTGGAGCTTCCAAACGACTTTGCTCCTGTGTGAACTTTGGCAAGTCACTTGCCCTCTCTGGTCCCGCAGGCCTCACCTCTAGGGAAAGCTAAAAATAGAGCTCACTGCATTAGAGCGTGGTGAGGATAAATGGGGCCCGCCTAGCTGCGCAGGTGCAGGCCGAATGATCGATAGGGGTGGGGCGGGCCCCACTCCAGGCCCAAGCTCCTTCGCTTTCCTCCCTGCACCCCCCCCAGCCTAAGTGGGCAAGCACAGCAGCCCCAGAATGGCACAGAACTGGACTGGCTCTCACAAGTGCTCAGACTCCTCTGGGCCTCAGTTTCCCAGTTGCAAAATCAACACATACCTGCAGGT